TACAGTATGGGGAAGGAAAGGGAAATGCATTGGAATTAGGGTCATAGCACTTGGTCAATAATTAAGTAGAAAAAGGACTTTAAAATATCTGGAATTTAAGGCCTTACAGACAGAATGTTTAATCGTGTTCTTATCAAGCATGAAAAACACAAGTTGGGGATATATTTGAGAAATGTATTATATCTGAGGTCCTTTGAGAACGTTCACATGAAAGTCTTTGCTATAATAAAAAAGTATACATATCAGGGTACAAGGAGAGTTTAAGAAAATATTGCAGAAAATGGGTTAATATGGAGACTGTCAGTAATGAGCTTTATACTATAACCAAGAAGCTTGATACATAATTTACTTGTACTTATTTATAATATTATTGCCTACTTTTGTATTTTTAAATTTTTATGCATACTTATGTATTATATTGAACATATATGTTCAATATAACACAATTTTATCACAGTTAATAGAAATTAAGGAGAAGGAGAAAAGACAAATAAGTATGCTAATATATTTAGTAAAAGAAATATATATGCTGTATTTTGTTTTATCTCCTAAATATTCATTTAAAATTTTCTAAACAGTCACATGGAATTATTAGAGAAACTAAAGTATCCTTAATCCTCTTAAAAGGAGTATGCCAAATGGTGCTACTGATGCTATTTTTCAGTCATTAAAGTATTCTTTTAATATTTTGAAATGACTTTCAGTAGCAGAAATTAAAACTAAAAAACTTTTAAAAAGCAGATTATTCCCAATAACCTAAATCTTTCATTCCAATACAATTCTATTTATTTGAGAGTTTGATTTTCTTACCCAGTTCTTTTTAACTTCCTAAAATAATGAGAATTATTCCCAACTGTTAAATAAAACTTTAATTTAATTTTATATTTTGTAGCTGCTATGCTACTACCTATTTACCAAGTAGTTCTCTGTCCTGCATTGTGGCCATGGGATAATTGATTATATAAAATATTTTCTTTTTCTTACTTTGAATTAATAAATAGCTTTAAAAAATTTTGTTGTTTGATACAGAAGTAAGAAAATATATGGATTAATATTTACCTTTTCTTCTCACCTGGAACTTTCATGTTATTAGTTCTTTAAATTAGAAATTATTATTTTCTAATTAAACAAATAAGAAATTGGAAGTATTTTTAGGAAAGCATATTATTTTTCAAAGATGATATTTAAAATTGGAAAAATAATGAAATCAATGAAAAATCCCCCAAACAATATAGGCAACTCATACTAAAAAGGCAGAAGTACTCTTCTGTGTAACCTTAAAATACACTAAATTTGTATGTTTGACATAATTTTTACAGAACCCAATTTAGCCTTCTGTATTTTTATTTAAAAATTTTATGCATTTATTTTAGTAAATTATATAGAATTCCAAATGAGAATTCTTGTGGCAGAATTTTTTATATGTCTATTTATATTTATTGTCTTTATCTATTATTAATCTCTCATTCCAAAATACATAAATAAACAAAATCAATAATTAAATTTGTTAGGAAGCTTATACTGAACAATAGAAAAATAAAGTTATATACCTCCTAGCATATTTAGGTCAGGCATTATATAAAACTAAGAAATTTTTGAAAAAATGAATTTGCCATACAATTTTAAAAGCAGGAGAAGGTTTCTCATGAAAAATAATAATGACAATAGAATACTTGAATGACAATATAAAGAATAATTAAAACTGGAGGATTAATCTTTTTCTTCACATATCCTGGCTGATGCTAACACAATTGCAGAAACCATGTATTTAAAGCTACATTTTATAAAACCTCACTGGCAAAAATCAATAGAAAGCTTTAGTGGGTAGAATGTGTGTAATAGTAACAAGTAGAAAGGTTAGTGTAGAAGTTAATGGTTCTATCAGGAATAAAACAGAGTTAAAATGTGAAGGAAAGGTCTACCACAAGTGGTTCATTAACCTTTTAGAACCCTGGTGTATCCTTGCTGTAAAGATTACAACAAATCTGAGTCAGACTCTACTCCCATTTGCTAATACTCCGCCTCAGCACAGCACTGCTTAAATTTCTCATGATAGAATTATTTTCATTACAATTGCATGTTACTGCTAAAAACTAAAACAGTAGAGTTAGATTCGGAGGACTTCAGTAAGCACACACCATGGAGTATTTTGGAGTATTTTTGTTTTTGTTTTTTGCTTTTTTTTTTTCCTTCCAGGTCTTCGTTTCGCTTTGAACTCAGCTTCAGACTGACCAAAAGTGGTAGTATATGATGTAAGGTCCAATAAAGATTTACCTTGTGGTCGCAGTCCCATTTTAAATAGGTAGCTGTACTTATCTCAGAATTCTGTTAATTTTCAGCTTATTTCAATTATTCATTGACCGTTGAGAAGGGTCAGAAGATTTTCAAGATTCATTTTTTAATCATTTAGGGAAATAAAATAATTTATCTTTTTTATTCAAAAATATATTCTGTGGCCTCTGTATCACCTGGAATTCACCTGGGTAAAGTGGTTTGGAAAAGGATGATCATTTGACTTGCACTGTGATGATGTAAAGGTAGAATTATGGTAACAAAAGTCACAGTGTGAAACACAGAGCCATAGCAATGATTTAGTGTCTTCAGGTGAAAGGTAGTCACAGTGTTGCCCCTCCATTTTCCCTACTCCCCTTTGACTTTTTTAATCTTAACAGAAAAAAAAATGAAAGAAAACCCCATGCCTATATTTCCTCCTCACAGTACCCTTCCTGCATCTTTCCCATTTCCTGACCCCTCTCTCAAATCTTTCTTGCTTTCCTCCCAGTAAATTTTAAGTTTAGAAGTTTAAATGAGCAGCTGCCACAGCAGGCAGGACAAATATTCTGGCAACAAGGGAGACTCCTGTACAGGATGGCTGGCTCCCCTTTGGAGACAGAATCGACCTCTGCAGCAAATCAGAGTCATCAGCTTGGAGCCTGAAATCCCAGACCTTACATTCCTTCCAAAATTTCCAGTTGGTAATCTATCCTGCTGAGCTGATTCCTTTCAAATTTCCATATAATCCAAAAATGAAGTTATTTTTATTTCTTCCTTTTTTTTTTCAAAGAGGGGCAAATTCAGTTCATAATTAGGGGAGGAGTAGTTTTTGGATTCGATCCTCTGCACAAAATCTGTTATAAATATGTCCTGCCAAAATTCTGAACTGTAATGTGCCAGTTTTGTAATAGGTTTAGTGCTCTGGTCTTTTTCTCTAAGTCCAAATTCCCTGTCATTTTAAAACATTTTGTCCTTGAAAACCCTTTTTATTTTTCCTCACAATTTTCTTTTTTTAAAAGATGATGTGGTGTGCATGTTTTAAGCCATCCCATCTGTGACAGCTGAAGACAAAAACGTCAGCCTGAGATTTGGCACAACTTGGGCCTGAGTCCTGTAATCTCATTTGTGGCTGTCCTAGAACTGTTCTTATTACCCGGAATCCTTATCTTGTAGCCACAGCCCAGGGCAGCATTGTGGCTCTTTTGAGTATAATCAATGCACTGGCTAAAACGCTATCCAGATCTTTGTTAGAGCAGACACCATCTTTGGAATTGACTCTGATGTTGAAAATTGCTGAACCCCTTAATCTGCTTCATTTCTCTTGCTTGAATGATGGTCTGAACAGTGCAACTTTAGAGGACAATGACTCTGGCTCTTTGAAATGTTGATTTTCATCGGTGGCACAATGTGATGAGCACATAAACTCTTTATATAGTTGGTCAAGGATAGTAAGGCTTTCTACAAAGAAGACCACATTTACCAATTACTGGGCATCTCACTTACCAGAAATCTTTGTGATAAACACAGACCAAACTTCATGAAGCCTAGAGTTAAATGAGAACTTTGACTTAGTTGGAATGAATTCAGTGGTTATATATAATATATATAACAGAAATTATATATTTCTGTTTCTTTCACATAATTTAAAAGCAAACCATCATAGAATTGAATCTTTGGCATCAGTTTTTTTAAGTCAAGACTGCAATTTTCTTTTTGGTGTGAAACTGAAGTCTTTTTGTTTGTTTGTTTAAGAGAGAAGTTTTTCTATTGTCATGCTGTTTGTTTAATAGTGCAGAAATCATTTATAATTAATTAATACCTATTTATCATAATGGTTAGATCATAGGATTCACCACTCCAGACAGTGGCTGAATTTGATCTGTGTGGATAAATAATTTTGTGAATAATGGTAATTTGGGTATGTGTTTTTCACTCGGAAAGAGTGAATACATACTAGATAACTAAATCTAGTATTTTCCTATTATAATTGAGATTATTTATGTCCATAGAATACAAAATCCAAGTTATCTCATTATTTAAAATTGAATCTAATTAATAATTTTAGTATCTAAAACTAAACAACTGACAGAATTTTTAAGGTTTGGAAATAGAAGCATTATATTTGTAATTTTAGGATAGTTCAACTTAGAAACAAATGTTTAAGTATGTGAAAGCTATGGTACCAACAGTCAAATCATTTTCTTTGTACTTTTTCTAACTTGAAGCCAATTTTCATCAGTTTTCAGTATTTGTAAAATCTATATATGGTGATGCTCTTAGTTGGATAAATTTCTTACTATATGGGGAAGAAAAGGAATAATTATCATACCTTATTAAATGACTGGTCTTGTTCAGAATTCTAGGATTTTGCCTCCTATACTAACCTGAAGCTCCCCACTTAAAGTCTTAGTATCCACTGCATAGAATGAAAAGGAAAGAGCTCATATGACAATCGAGGGGCTCACAGCCTCAAGGCACCACATGATCCATGTGATCATAGTTTGTTTAAATTAACAATAAGGACATATCAGTTAATTAGACTCAGTGGTGAAGAAAGGGATTATAAAAGTCTAAAATGGAATTTCCAAGTGCTGAAAGCAAGAACTGCTGAAGAAGCATGATTTCTTTCCAGTTAATTTGATTGGATGGCAAATAAGCAATTTTACACCCAAATGAAACAGAAAATACAACTCTAAAAAACTGGATCACAAAAATATGCTGTTGAAAAGTTTTGAAAGGTACATATCGTTTGTTAAATTTATTTAGAATTCCCCCTTTTCTGTTGCTTTATTTTTTTATGTGTCTTACAAGTATGTGGATAATATGCAGTTGATCTCTAATGCTAGCATGCTTAGTCATTTCTCTTCATATTCAGTGTGAGCCACAATCCAAGCATGAATCTGTTCATCATTCTTCATTTGCTTCCCAGATCTGCATGCAGTCCTTACTCTGCTGTATCTTAGTTCTGCGATGTTGGTGCTTGATCCTTGTAAGTTTCAGTTTCCTAATTTATAAAATAAGGATAATACTACATTTTTCAATGTTTTCCTGAGATTCAATTTTATGCTGTTTTCCTCTTCCAAAAAATCTATTCTATCTCCTGCTCACCATTCCCTACTCTGTTATGAATATCTATCAATTCATCCATCTTTTGATCTATTTATTTATCTATCAGTCATCCTATGCATCTACTTGTTTTCCAGATGTTACCAAGTGTAATTAGAAATATAATGCCTGTAACTAAAATACAGTACAAAATACAAAACAATATAATAGAACATAAGGAATGAAACAAAGGGCAAATAAGATATTAAAATGTAAAGGTAGTCAATAAAGGGTCAGTCAACTGTACACACACATACGCACACAAACACATGAACACAACCCTTTTAGTTGGTATACTTTCCAATTGCTTTTGTTTCCTTTAGGCAGTTTTGAATATGGTCATACCCATTTTCATATCATCATGAGATGCCCTGGGTTAGTTTTAACCATCAAATAGAATTGATAGTGTTGGCAGTGTGGTTATAATGAATGCCATTTTGTAAGGGAGCTATAACAGTGTCAAATATGCAAAACAGTGTATTGCATTTTACAAAATGTACATTGCATTTTGCCAATGTGGATATAAACTTAACTTTTACATTTGTTTTATGAAGCCAGAATATCTAAACATATATATAGAATAAATACTTAATCCTGATTTTCATAAAATAATGGATTATGATGATGATGATATAAAATGTTACAGCCTAAATAATACACCAGCTCAAGTAGTGAAATAAGTAGATAAAATCTGAATTTATTGGTAATAAAGGACACATTCTTAATGACCATTTTCAACATTCTCAAGTATAAATTAGCTAGATGACTGAATTATTTTTTATTTATAGGAAGAACACAATAGGATTTATTCTATCTCACAAGATAAAACAAGAGGATTTAGGAGATTCAAATATATCTTGGATTTTTCTCATATTTGAACATATTCCCCAATGTTTTTAACTTATAACCAAACTGTTTGAAACCCCCCAAATTTAGTTAGATTATTTATGCATCAAAGAGGAGTGTTTAAACTCACACTTTTGAGGGTCAAGAGGATAAATCCTCAAATTTTTCTCTTAGAAAATCAAGGACTGACCCCTTTTTTTCCATCTACTTTTTCTAAGGGTGGCGTGATATTGCCTATGAAATATTTTAACATAATAATGGATTCTTTAGCAATTTTTCAAATATAGTATTCCTAAAAATCATTAGCCTAAAAACACCTGTTAATTCCTGACTATAATTAACACATAAAACTTACTGTATTGGAAAATGCATGTCTTAAGTGAACCTGTGTTTTTTAAGAATGGGTATCACAACTAGCTGTGCCAAATCCTTTGGGAAAAAAAAGGTATTTTTATTCATTCAGTAAAACACCATTAGACAGAAAATTCTGTAATATATCTCAATTTAAGTCAGGATGAAATTTCAGGCAATAAAAATGGTTACCATTTACCTCAGATATCAAGGAAAAAAAATATTTGGAATCTTGGAAGAATTTCAAGTCTATATTCATGATGCAAACTCCATTTCTCTAGCTCAGACAACCAAGATGAATAAGAATTCAACTCTCCAGGTTAAAACATTTTCCTTTATTCATCTTTTATGGCCATTTATCTCTATATACCTATTTTTCAGGGCTCTTATGAAGACAAGTGGAATAGTTTGCTCTGAAGTGCTTAAACTCTTAGGAGGAAAAATACTCTATAAGAGCAAATTATTATTATCTTTATTACTATAACAAACACAGGGGATAATTATTTTTGAATCTAAAAGAACAAGGAAAAGTATGATTCTACATCAAAAATTACACAGTGGGTGGTAAATGGTTTTTACTTCTGTGAAGAGCAATACAATAATTTCCACATTGCTCTGCTTATAATATTTATCCTCTATTGGCCTTGCTTCTTGTGCTTTCAAAATTTCTTTCCTTCCCACAAAAATTTGCTAAATTTTGGCCTTCGCAACACCTATGTAGGCTTAGAAAATTTTAAAAAGGAGCTAATTTCTTGCTAAAATAGACTTCACACACAAGAATTCACTGAATTTTGTATATTTCTTTTGTATTGTATGTAGTGTAATGCAAATTTTAAATTTTAATGGTATTTTTTCTTTGCAGTGTTTCTGTAATTATTCTTGTTTAGGCTAATATAACATTTGATTAGAGAATATCTGAAAACTTTACAGATAAATCATCTTCTCTTTTCATACTATGTTCCTGAGCTTCATTTTCTACAATATATATTTTTACTGATTTGCATTATTTGTATGTGTTGTGTGAAGCATTTCTTGGGGTTTATTAATGGCATTTGAGGTAAAAGTAGAATTATACCATTCCCTAAGTTTTTCATTCCTAGAAAAATGCAGACTACATTTTGCTAATAACTGTACGTGAAAGCAATGATGTGGTTGCCAGTTTTTAAAGAGATAGTATGTCAAGAGGTCTAAGTCTGTTTCCCAAATTTTTATATCATTCTCTCTCCGCTTACATGAAATCTTACCTTCCTCTCTTCTGATGCTTCTGCATGTGGGATGATAGCCAGACTATGTGTATATTATTCTCCTTATTGTTACTCTACATATTGTATTCACTTAAACCACAAATATAGTCAGTTGCTGAGTTATTTCCTTGTAGCCATACTTACCTCCCCTTTCTGTAGATGGCAGGGATTTGTGCTAAGAAGGGATAAAGATAAATGGAGTGTCTATAGGAGTGAGGCATCATATGCTGCTGTTTCTGCTTTTCTCTTTAACCAATGTGAAACATATGGCAATAAAGTAACAATTATATATTATTTTTTACTTCATGATTGCATTCCTCCACTTAATTTCATAAACAAATTTTGAGTTGCATTGTATTTATATTTTAGTCAGTTTTTGATGAGTATAGAAAGACAGTTCATGGTAAAATCACGTTCTTGTCTGCCAGTCTGGCTGGGCACAATTCATGAGCCACTTATCAAGCAGAAACGAACTTTATTTTTAGAACACACGCTGCACCACACAAGCTCTTCAGGAATTCCTTCAGAGCCCAACTGCCACCACAGGCTTCCCACAAGCCTCTCAACCCCGCCCCACTCCTCCTGCTCTTGAGGCCAGTTGGCTGGGTCCCTGGGCAGAGCCAAAAGAGTCCCCCAATGAGCAGCTCCATGGTCTGAAAGGGCGGGGAAATAGCCCAATGAGCATCACCGCAGAGGAGCCAATCAGCTGGCAGCTGGAAGTTTGCTGGGGCCACCGTGAGCCAATCAGCTGGAATTTTGCTGGGGCCCCTTTGCTGTGGCTCTCAACACTTATCATTTCCTTAATCCAACATTGGTAAATTTTAGAGTTCTCCAAAGAGGAAATTTTATTGCTCCTGGAAGTATTCTTTTTCATGCTCTTCTCATATTGAAGATAATTCATGATCAACCTTCAAAGTTTTCTGACTTTGTGATTTAAAAAGATATCTGTCTACTGCTTATTGAAGACATTATAAAAGTTATCACGAAGACTGAGGAATTTAAAAGAGAGAGGTTCCAGTTAATTAGATGTTTGCGGTAAAATAGGCAATGAAAAAATTAGGACACTGACCCTAAAGCAGGAATGTGAGTTCTATGACCAGGGGTGAATGTGGTAGAGTATAATGAGCGTAGATGCTGGGCTTTGGTAGCAAAGTCAGAGATAATTGGGCCAATATACTTGACTAGTTTTTACCCTAGCTCAGTGTATAGCCATTGTATAGTTCTGAGCACAGAAGCAACATTGGTCTGACAAATTAAAATTTATATTTCAGTAGAATAGAGTCAAGCTAGGCATGATGGCACACACTAGTTATCTCAGCAACTTAGGAGGCTGAGACAGGAGGACTGCAAGTTTGATACCAGCCTCAACAACTTGGTGAGGACTTAAGCACCTTAGCAAGACCCTCAAAATGAAAAAAAATAAAAAAATAATTGCTGGGGATTTATCTCAGTGACAAAGTGCCTCTGTGTTCAATTTGTCGTACAAAAAAAAAAAAAAAAAGAATAGAGTCAAAATATGAAACTATCTGAACTATATACAAAAAGTGTAATTTGTGTCTTTCTTTACCCCATAGTGTTTTTTTTTAATTCTCTGTAAATCAAGATTTTTTCCCCAATTGAATCAATTAAAATTCACCTGATGATATGACCTTTTAAGGAACTTTATAGTCAACCTTTTATAAAGTGAAGGCTTCTTTGCTTTCCAGAAAGTAATCACATGGTAGTTTATACTCAGACCATGTACACCATCATTTCTAAAAAGGAGGAAAAAAAGGAAGTTAAAATAAAAGAACCCTAGATAATCAAAGATAACTGGGTATGATCTTACACATATTGATTAATTTTGGGGGTAGAGTGAGCCCTGAGGATATGTATGTTTAAGAAGTACTGCAGGTCATTTTCAATTGCAATGGAATAGGACCTCTGGCCTTCAATATTTGTTCCTTTCTCTGTGTACATATGAGACAGTGTGTGTATGTTAGGTGGGGAGGGGGCAGATCAATAAACGTAGAAATCAACAGTTTCTCTAATTTTTATATATATTTGGTCTTCTAACTATTCCTTATCTCTCTGTCTCTTAGACACACAAACAGAGATAGTGGGACAGACAGACAGATACACACACACATACTCCAGATGTAATTGTGGTTTTTAAAATTGCAACATCTGCTTTCATCCCAGAAGAAAATAAATCTGGCATTGCTTGTCAGCACGGGAAAAGTTAGGAAACCAAGTTAATACAGTGGAATGTGTCTTTTGCACCAAGCACAGAAACAATAAATCATTGAGTGTAATAAGAAAGTGTAGTAAGAAAGTTGATTTTTTTTCCTAACATGCCAGTCTATTGACCTTTCTGATTATATCTGTTGCTTATCTCCTGTTTATAACAATGACCATGCAAATTACCCAAATCGTCACCATTTTATCTAGTAATGTTAATCTCAATTTTATCATACCAGTATTTTGCATTATTCTATGTAAGTTGATAACTTGATTTCAAATTAGTATATGAGCAGCAATAGGTAGGAAGTCATATGTGTGCTGAAAGTTGATACAGAGGAAATATCTGTCACTAAGGAAATTCTTAGAAAGAAGAACAAAATGAAAGCAGATATCCAAATAAAGGTTGTTTTTATTTAGTGTTAGCTAAGGTCATGCCTTTTAAATCATCCTAAATGGTACTATAACCTGCCATAAGAGTTCATTCAGCTAGATATTACAACAGTTCTTACTTTTCTTTTGTTTCCCTAAAGTATAGCATTCCAAACACTTATTAAAATTTCGAAATTCATTACTTAATAAGAGTAAATTTGACAGCAAAAGCTTGAAGAAGTGTTTAAATTATTTTAGCTAACTCTCTCTTTTACATATTCCAGGTATTAACACTTTTTTGATGTCTTGTTGAAGCCAAAGAGAAAAACCCACAAGTTTTTTTTTAATCTAAAATATTCAACAGAAAATGCACTCACGTTGAAAATTGCTTATATTATATTAAGAGAATTAACCATATGTTTCTTGCAATAAGATGAGGAGATGATTTTAGCATACATTTGCAGACAGTTCATAAGTACATGTGACCTTCAAAAAGTGACAGGCAGATTTTATATATATTTTTATCAATATGAATATTTTCTGTCAACATAACATTCACCTTGTCATGCTTGCTTTTTGAAATTGCCATCTCAAGAGCTTTAATTATCTCTTAAAACCAAAAGTATTTACATTTGCTTTGTCTCATGACTGTTTACCACTAACATGACACTTGTTTTTTTCTCATGTGTGGTGACAAGTGGTCACTAATCATTAATAAAATGACAAGTCTCTTATCCAAGCTGTAAAAACAGTAGGTTTTAAAAACAAACTTCAGAAGATTAAGCCTCCTCTGTGATTTCCTACAGTGTATACACATCAATAGAGGGGACTATGTGCTGTCACTTTCTTCAATTAAAGCTAATTGAATTACCTAATACATGTTATGCACTTACGCTGACAATATTCTCTTAAAATTAGAGGTACAAGAGCAAGCAAGGAGTTAGAATGCTTACCTCTCTTTTGGGAATTCAGGTTCATTTATAAAATGGAAAACAGGAAAGATATATATTTTCATTTGATCTTGAATCTCACTTATATTTAACTGTATTGAAGTCAGTGGTCTTATTTATTTAAACATAGTAATAATAACAGGAATATTTCTTTTAAAACTGAGTCAGCAACTTAATGTAGCCCTTGTGTCTTGGTTAGGTTATTTGTTCATAAAATTTTGTTAAAAAGAAATGGCATAAGCCACAAAGTCTAAGAATTTATGTCTATAAAATAGATTTAAAGATATAATGTCATTTGAGCCATTTTTGAGGAAAATATAGCTTGTAAAATTAACTCAATTTCCCATTGCAAATTTGCATGTAATATTTATAAATTTTAAATTCTAGAGGTAAAAGATGTTTTAGGATGCAGCAACAGTTTAAGACAGAACAATAATATCTATTGGGCATAGGTATGAGCATTTTAATAACTTTACTTCAAAATTAAAGTTTTGTAATTTAGAATTGATCCATAAACATAGACACTATTCTACATTTAATACTTATTTACTCATTTTGACTTCTAAGATAAATTAAATATTCATTGTGAACTGCAGGAGGTATATGAAAAGGATATGGCTGTTGTCCTTTAGGAACCTAAAATCGAATTAGTGATACCAAAAGAAAATTCCATAAAAACTTACCAATATTATAAACAAAGTCTAAATGAGGCAAGTAACCTAAGCAGTTGCAATGGGAAAAAATGTGAAGTATTTTAAGAGATGTGTTAATACTAATGTTGACAAGATCCTGGACCTGAATGAGAAAAGTGATAGACCCACTATTACTGAAGTTTCTTACTCTTGTGATTGGATCAATTCAGTCTGATCCCAGATAATTATAAACAAGTATCTTAGTTCATTTGTGCTTGATAACAGATTGCCTGAGAATGAATAATTTTTGAAGAGCAGAAGTTTATTTCTCACCATTCTGGAGGCTGGGATGTCTAAGATCAAAGTTCTGTCATCTTGTGTCTGGTGAAGGCCTTCTTATTGTGACCTTATATGATGGAGGGCAGAAGAACAAAGGGAAAAAAAGGCTCTGTCAATCCCTTTTACAATACCATTAATCTAATTATGAGAATAGAGCCCTCATGATTTAAACGTCTCCCCAAAAACCCTACTTCCCATCACTGTCGCGCTGGAAATTAAACTTCTACTACATAAATTTTGGGAGACATTTAGATCATAGTAGCAAGTTTGGTGAGAAATAATATTTTGTTGGGAATGTGTAGGCTTAAGATATCTATTGTTCATTTAGGTAGAAAGTCCAGTGTTCCAAACATTGACTGTTAAGTCTGCAAAAGCTAATTGGAAATGAGTCTATAGTTCAAAAGAGTTTTGGTAGTTATCAAGATAGAGTTTGTAGCCATAATTGATTCAGTTTAACAAAGAAAAGGAAGATTATTCTTGACTTGTATAAAATGTAATAGAAAACAATATTTGAGCTTGCCAATGTGAATTCCATAATTAGAGGAAGGAGACATTCTAAACTTCAGAAATACCAAAAGTAAAATTGTGATTATAAAGCTTATTTAATGTATAAATATTATCTTTCAGACATAGAAAAAAATCACAGAGGTACAGACAAAATCCTTTATACACATACACACACATACAGATGCTTATATTATGTAATATTCTTAATTCTTGATGAATGTCTCCAAAATGTGATTTTTTTTAGGCTGAGAAATTTGATAAGTTATAGTTATCTGTCCATAACCTATCAATGGAATTTTCCTTCATTATTTTTACCATATTTTGTAATACTTTAAATCAACAGTTTGTTTTATCATGTTTTCCAGGGATAAAGTCTGTGTTTGTGATGTAAAAACTTTTTTTATTTTTGCCTTTATCTTTAAAATATTTCTTTCCTATTGAGTTCAGAATTTTAATTTGGCATATACCTTTTGTTACCACAATTAAATTATATACTAGATTTACTGTTCCACTGTCCTCTAGATTTCATCATGTTTTCTTGAACATTGGCTGTCTATCTCTTTATGGCTGATTAAAATGTACAGTATATTATTTTCCATGGACCAATTAGAATATTTTTCTCTTTAACTTTGTTTTCAGAAGTTTGACAAAATTATGCTGAGACATTGTTTATATAATAATTAGGATTCCTAGAACCTAATCTGTGATTTACTGTGTTTCCTAAATTTTGGGAAAAAAAAAAAAAAAAAAAAAATATATATATATATATATATATATATATATATATATATATATATATATATATATATATGTATGTATTTGGGGGGGGTATCACCTTATTTTCTCCTTCTTGAGCTCCAGTTAGTCATGATGTTATATATTTGAATTCTGCACCACATGGCTATTACATTCTTTTCTGTATTCTCCTTTTTATTTTGCATCTCTTTACAAATGATTTCTACTGCCTTGTATTTAGTTCACTGATCCTGGCTTCTCTGACTGGCTTATGTTCAAGTCCATTTATTGATTACAAATTATTTCTATGGTTTGAATGTGGTTAATCTCCCCAAAATTTATGTACCAAAAACTTGTTTCCCAATTTAATAGTGTTGAAACATGGTGGGACTTTTAAGAGGCAACGACAAATGGGAGGTAAACTTTCATTGGAGGAATGTTCATCATTTTATGTAAAATTTTTTAATTACAAAAAATGTATTATCAATTCATGATGCTGGACCATAAAATCAATGCAAACAATCAAACAACAAGAAAAAGAAAACATAGCTGAACCAGATTTTAAAATAAGTAGGCAAAATCCCTTAAAAGACCATAGTTAAAAAAACAGAGATGATAAACAACATAGATAAGATGAAAGTATTCATCAAAGACTTGACATATAATAAAAATAGAATTTAAAAACTGAAATATAATTTTTTTTAATTTTTTTTATTTTGCAATTCAAAAAAAAATACCTGATGCTGGGTACTTTTATAAAGTTAAGAGGTTTATTAAGTTTTGGAAACTAAAAATCCAAGATTGGATTGTTCCATCTTGTGGGCCTCTAATAGGGACTTTATGGTTAAATAATAACAGGACAGATTGCATCACATGGCAGAAAAGAAGCAGGTACCAAGGGATGGTCTTATCAATTTATTCCAGTTATAGAATTCAGAAGGAGCAAGGTTTTGCCTTGGTACCCAGTACTGATTCTTCCATTTTTCCTTCTGGGGGCCTGTTTTGTCCACCATGGCATCTTTCCTGGGAATTTTCTTCAGTTTGATTCTTTTGTCTTTATCATGGAGAGACTGCCAATAATTGCATTTTGAATGCTACCAAAACTCATCTGAATTTAGTAAATGTTTTAAGGGGACAGCCAGAATTTATGTTTTGTTCTCCAACCTCCCCGTGAGATGTCTCCATCTTCATTGTGTTCTATCAGCCTGGACTTCCTAATTTCAAGTCTTGGACTTCTGTCCATGCAAGGCCTGGGCTCTTATGCTTATGTTTGAAAGATGTTAATGGCAAACACTCTCAGGTTGAGTGGCTCAAACTGGTCAGTATATATTAAATGTGGCTTCTCTTCTCCATTCTATGACGTGGGGCACTAAAATTCTTGTTGACTCAATAGTTCTTCAGATATTTTCATGTGTGGATTTATTCAGCATCTATTCTATATGATCTTGGTGGCCATGTTATTTTGCCATTAGCTACTCTATCATATTTAGAAGTGGAAGTCTTACAAAAACTTTTTAAAAGACCACTGGAAAACATTGAGCAGATTCAATGCAGACAGTAAATGTTAGATTTCATAATCCTTACCTTTTCACTGTTTAATTGAAAGCAAAGTGTTCTAAAATGATATGAAATTTTGAAGCTTTCCATTATTTTTAGCATTGCTGATAAATTACCAGTTTCACTTTATAATTTTTTTATGTTCTATGTGATATTCCTTATAGAGAGCCATGTTAGCAAGTTGCAATTTTTTGATTATTAAAGAACAGAAAAATTAATAGCTTAATATATTCAAGATTAACTTTAGCTTCCTTTTTCTATGAAAATCCTGTATGGGATGATCAATATAAAAAAATTAGTCAAGTGCTTTGGGAAAATTTTATAAAGTGAATGTGGTCACCTATTATTCACGGACCCCTTGTGGAATGCAGGTATAAAACAAGCCTTGTTCTTTTGGTTCCCAGCTTTCTGGAGAAATGTTAGTAGTATTGTAAAACCACGTGATATTAGTGTAATACTTTACTCAACTGAGATATATATGAACAGTTAATTTGTGGCTATAATCTGCAGGCTTCCATTTTATTTGTGATGAATTCTTAGTTACCTAAGGCATTATCAAATTTATAATTCACATTTATATGAACACCTCCATCTAACAAAAAAGTAGTTAAAACAGATGTAAAATTATTTATATCATTTTTAAAGGAGGGAAAATGAGATGTGTTCTATCTTCACACAAAACTAATATGCATGTCTGTGTGAAATTAGATATGAGTAGTGGTAATATCTAGATACAAAGTCTTTAACCAGAGGGACCACTTTGGACAAGATCAGCTATAAAATTTAACAAATGCTACAGACATTTACAACTCTGCACATATATAATGGAACCTATTCCTAATACTTATATTAAACTGCAGATTTTATGTGTTAAAATGCTATATCCAATGAGTTAGAAATGTTCTTATCAATCGTATGGTAAAATTGAACAATCAATAAAAATCCTGTTTACTGTAAAGAATAAATTATAAAAAAATATATTCTATTTGACAAAAACTCATATATTACCATAAAATAATAGAATGTATACTGCAGACTGAAGCATGATGAGGTTTTATGATTATTAAAAAAACCCTCAAATTTTCATAAGAGCAGAGGATTATGTTTAAAGATATGACAGTATTAGGTCTCATCCTAATTCAAATATAGTGTGATGGAAAAAATTACATAAAAACTCATTTTATATAGTACTTAAAAATTATTTAAGCCCTTGAATAAAACAGAAGTATATTAAAAACTGATAACTGTGATAGAGAAATAATTAAGGATAAAAATGCCAAACAATATTTTTGCTCTAAAATTATAGAAGTGATATGCAATCTTTGTACAATATGTATAAGATGTTGACAAAAATCATCATTATACTACCTTAAGATAGTTATTGTTGGAGTCTGAAATAAATGCATTAAATCAGTGCCTCCTGACCCTTTTAAATGAAGTGTCTGGCATAAGTACTCTTCTGGACGGATCCCACGTGTTACTTGTCCACAATGTTCTGTTAAGAACACTTTATTTTACTGACATTACATTTGTAGTAAGATTTTATTATGTTGTTGGCCACTGGCACTTTGGGTAACTATAGTAAAAGTTAGCAGAGGTTGTTTTTCTGTCTCCCTCTCTCCTACTTCTATCTTGCTTACTTTTTTATATAATCAATGTCTAATTGGAAAATAATTTTTATGGGGATAAAAAACATTTATGGATGGGCCATAAATTATTCTTTTATCCTACCACTAAATTATTTTCATAAACATCATATTATTGCTTCTGTGTTTCACTACCCCATGAAGGAGAGATTTTTGTAAATGTAATTTTTTTATGTATGTGGTACATTCTATGAAGAATAGAATTTAAGTAGAATAGCTAATTTGAAGAAAACATTACAAATTTTACTGACAAGAAGATAAATTAATAGTACTCAACATTGTTAATGGTCTGTTTAGATTTTGTATTTGTTTTTGTGTTGTTTTCATAGTTCAACCTTGGTAAAATGTATGTGTCTAGGAATTTCTCCTTTTATTCTAGATTTTCAATTTGTTGGCATGTACGTGTTCATAACAGTCTCTCGTGCTTATTTATATTTCTGTTGTATCATTTATAATGTGATGTTCTTCAGAGGAGGTTGGTGGTACCAGAGTACTGAGCGGTGGAGATGGGTTTTGAGTGGTATTTATTAAATTAGATCTATTTAAATATTTTGGGGAGATAAGTATAACATTTTCAAAGAGGAATTTCAGAGCAAATGTTTCTTAGTTCAGTTTCTATTGC